CTGACTGGGGCATGGGGTACCCCAGCCCAACGTCCCCGGTTCTCTGGGAGGGGCCGCAGGGGCAGGCCAGAGCACAGCTCCTGGAGGCTAGACATGTCTGCTGACACTGGGGAGGAGGCTGGCTCTGTGGAGAGGCCAGGGAGAGACTGGACAGTCAAGGTCCAGCTGGGAGGGAACCTCCAGCCCCAGAGCCACCTCCTCCAGCCCCTCATTGGGCCCCGGGCCTATGGAAGGAGCCATGGGTAGGTAGGTCATAGAGTCACTGGCCACGAGGCTGACTTGAGGGGGGAGCGGCAGTGGTCTAGGGAGAGGCAGGCTTCATACAGGGAGATGGCTGAGTGGGGGTTCAGTCAGTGGGGCTTGAGTGGCTTGTGATTTTAGGGTATGACTTTGGGGGCTGGTGGGACTCTAATGGGAGTCACACCAGGGAGGCAATGTTGGGGTTTGTGTCTTGATGATGGGGAGCCATCTGATATTGAACCTGGCACCGAGTGAGGGGTCTGTGTAGAAAGTAGATAGTGTCCTTTTTACCCCTTCTCCCTGCCGTGTGTGTGTGTGTGTGTGTGTGTGTGTGTGTATGGGGGGGGGAGGGTGACAAACCTGGCAGGAGCCCACCCAACAGCAGGTGCACCCTCCTCGGCTTCCGTTCCAGTGCACGCTGCTTCACCCCTTCTCAAAGCTCTGTGTGAAGGGCCTGCCAGGGAATGGCCCTCATCCCCAGTCCCATTGACGACTGTGAGAAAGTGCTCCTCCTTAGCGCTGTGCTATGGGTGGGAAACTGAGGCCCGGTCTCACTCACACAGCCAGGAAGTGACTGCCGTCTAATCCTGGTGGTCCCGTGAATCCAGCTCAGCTCCTGACCAGCCCTGTGGCCTTGGGACGTGTCCCAATCTACGCAAGTGGGTGGTAATTAACCACTCAGGCCGCAGGAGTCACGGATGGTTATGCAAGCACCCAGCGCAGAGCCTGCACTGGAAGGTGAAAAGAACAACAGCTCTCTGAGCACACAGGTGAGTCAGTTCACAGCCAGTTCACTTCGCACTCTCAGGGCCTGTGGGCTTCGCTGTCCCATTTAAGGATGTGGAAACTGAGGTCTAGAGGTGGTAGAACTTGCCCAAGGCCACCCAGCTAGTCATGGGTGGAGCTAGGACTTAAACCCTCAGAACTCAAAGATCTGGCTCTGGCTGGCAGGGTGAGCAGGCTGTTGTTGGGGTCCTCAGCAGCAGACAGGCTGCTTGGGAGAGCCAGCGAGCAGAAATGTGCTTTCGTTTGCTTTCCAGCATTCATCCATTCGCTCTATCTTTCGAGCAGGACTGACTGAGCATCAGGCACTGCGGCTGTCCTGGAAGCAGCAGTTCTTTTGTAGACACTGCCTCCCACCCCACCCCTCCACCCCTCAGGGCATGCACGGCACACAACGTGACAGCCAGCACCTGCCTCTCTCAGCTGGAGGGCTGCTTCTGGTGGCTTAGGGCATGTTCATCCAGTTCAGAGATGGGCTGGAAGGGCTAGAGAAGTGACAGGAGAGAGGGGACATTACTGGATAAATACCCCAGCTCCCTCCGCTCTCCCTGGGGTGTGTAAGTGGGTGGAAAATAAATCTGGGGAGTGTTCTGCACTGTCCCCAGTCTCCCAGCAGGACTGGGCTGAGTTGCGTCCCCCCTCCCAGTACCACACTCTTGGATGGTGGCTTTCCCTTCCCCACCCCACACCCCACTCTCTGATCAGACTAACGAGCTGTCCTGAAACTCCCCTCAGGACTTGCTTCTGGAAGGGGCTTCTTCATCTGATGGCTCAAGAGAAGCCAAAAATCTAACCATTTTTGTGAAATCTCCTGACTTTTAAATGTTTGCAACCAATGTTAAAAATTTAAGCATTGTATTGAATAAGATGAGTGGGTTATGTCCATGCCAATGACCTGGCTGTGACACTGCACTATATGGTCTGCAAGAGGTTATCACTGGGGGAACAGGGCACATGGGATCTCTGTTTTCTTTCTAACAACTTCATGTTAAACTATGTGTCCCCAAATAAAGAGTTTATTTTTTTTTCATTGTAGAAGCTATTTCAAAGAATGAGGATCTCACAGATGTTAAATATGGCCAACAAGGAAATTCAAACCCTGGCTATACCACTTACTAGCTTGTGTGTATGTGGGTAAGTTACTTAGCCTCTCTGTGCCTCGGATTCCTCATCTGTAAACCAAAAGCAGTAACAATTCCTGCTTCATGATATGCATCTGAGGATTAAATGAGATAATACATGCGAAGATCTTGGAATAGTGCCTGGCACAGAATAAGCACCAGATAAGAATAAAATACTGTTATTTTTCTCATTGCTGCCACTATCAAAAAAAGCAAGGAACACAGTAATGTATGTAGGACTAAATGTAAAGGAAAGACATTTTAAGGAAATTAAAATCTCTGAGGGATACACAGGAACTGGTGAGAAATGGGAGGGAAAGACTCTTTGGTGTTTTCCAACATTGTCAATGTAGTAAATGCCACTGAGTTGCACACTTTAAAATGATTCACTTTGTTATGTGAATAGCCCCTCAATTAAAAAGAAAAACAAACCTCTGGTGTTCTTAAAGTTTAATCCTTGGATAAACCAAATAAATACAAACTTAAAACTAGTAAGGAGTAAAGAGAGGCAGGCAGGCACTGCAAGCCAACCCCAGGCACTCAGGACCCCAGGCTACTCAGGTCCCCGCCCACTGAGCTCCGTGTGAAAGGGAGCCTCCAGGAAAGCCAGCGGGGCCAGCCTCCAGATCACCAGGCCCAGCGGCCCTTCAGATGAGCAGGAGACCCCTAGTGGGAAGCACCCAACTGAGCCACTCCCCCAATTCCTGACCCACAAAATGGTGAGCAAAATGTCACTGGTTTGGTTAAGCTGCTAAGTTTTAGGGCAGTTTGTTACTTAGCAACAGCAACTGGATCACTGCATCAGGATCCCCGTTAGGGCCTTTACTCTGCCGGGAAAGCTTCCCCTCCCTGCCGCCATACCTGCGCGGTCCTCCTCACCTGATTCACATCCCTGCTCAATGTCATGTCTCCCTGAGGCCTGCCACTACCACCCTTGTGGCACACACTTCCCATCCCTCTATTCTGCACCATTTACCACCTGCCATAATTTATTTTTTAATATATTAAATTGATTTTTATATTTTATTGATTTTTTGATAAAATATTGTTATTTTTTATCAAGAGAAGCCAAAAATATATTTTATTGATTTTTTACAGAGAAGAAGGGAGAGGGATAGAGAATTTAGAAACATTGATGAGAGAGATACATCTATCAGCTGCCTCCTGCACACCCCCTACTGGGGATGTGCCCGCAACCAAGGTACATGTCCTTGACTGGAATCGAACCTGGGCCCCTTCAGTCCGCAGGCCGACGCTCTATCCACCGAGCCAAACCGGTCAGGACACCACCTGCCATAATTTAGATATTTGCTCCTATTTCTATGCTCTCCACCACTCTCTATTGAAAACTCCACGAGGTCAGAGAGTGTATCTGCCTGGTTCTTGCCACTGGTGCCTTAGCATAGAGTGGGCATTCAGTATCTGTTGAATGAATGAAGGAATGAATGAATGAGTGAATATGAGCCCTTGTGAGAGGACAGAGGCTGCAGAGGGCACTTTCCCAGGCAAGCTGTGGAGGGCATATTCACCCTCCCACCCCAAGACCCATCATTGGGACTCTGCCAAGTGCCTGCACAGATTTTTCTGGACAGAGATGGGCTGAGATGTTGTTCTCAGCCTTGGCCACGAGGTGGCAGTTCGGGAGGCAAAGATTCGCCCTAAGGACCCAGGGGCTAGGACTCCTTACAGAGAATGCCCGACTCAGGGAAGGGTCAGGAATGCAGGTGTAGGTTAGATCTGGGGGCTGCTGGGGGTGTGGGTGATCCGGAATCTCTGGGTTCTGGGTCCAGGGTAGCAGCAGCCTTGACTTCGGGCGAGCCCAGCGGTGAATTAGACGCTCCCCAAGGCTTTCTGTCCAAGTTGTCTGGAAAACCATAATAAAAAGCTTCTGGTTTTATCAGAGCTGGTTTTCCGACCCCTCTGCTATTTGACACCTATCATCATCCTTGGGAGCTCTATCTTTAAGCCAAAATAACTATTATTTACTTGATATGCTTCCTTAAATAGATCTTTAAAACTTAAATATATGTAATAAGAAGGAATTTCTTAAAATTTCTTGGAGATTTGGGAGCAAACCGGCAACTCAGGTATGTGTCCCTAACCAGGAATCGAACCTGAGACCCTTCCATGTGTGGGCCACTGAGCCATACCGGCCAGGGCTTTTTGATGTTGTTGTCATGAGCCAAGGAATTTTTTTATATCATCACTGTAACTTGGCAGAAACAGGCAGTAACAGTTAATAATCACTAAGATATTGTATTTAGATGGCAGTCACTGAGTGCCAGATGCTGTTTCAAACATGCCCTCTATCTCATTTAGTCCTCAAAAGACGATGAGTTGTGTCCTACTACTATTCCATTGTACAGGGAGTGGGACACAGAGAGGGTGGGCGACTTTCCTGATCTCACACAGCCAATAAGTGGTACCAGCAGGCTTTAGAGTCACCAGAGTTCTCAAGAGCTGTTAAAAAACTGGAGTTTACTGCAGTATCCCCCCCCCGCCCACACACACACACACTTACTGCTAGGTATTAGCTCAAGGGAACACACCAGTGCACACAGCTGCCTCCTCCGGTCCCCTGCTAGCCTGCCCTCTGGGCAGCAAGACCCAGGGGACAGTCCTGGGCTCCTCACCCCACAGGGCTAGCTGGATTGGTTTATTTTTCCGGACTTTACTCTCATTCCCTCACACCCAGGAGTCTTCAGCAAGTTTTTGTTTGTTTGTTTTTGTATTGATTTCTGAGAGGAAGGGAGAGGGAGAGAGAGATAGAAACATCAATGATGAGGAAAAAAAAAATCACTGATTGGCTGCCTCCTGCACACCCCCACCTGGGACCAAGCCCGAAACCTGCCGGGACCAGAATGGAACCGTGACCTCCTGCTTCACAGGTGGACGCTCAACCACTGAGCCTCCCCGGCTGGGCCTCAGCAAGTTCTGAGTGCTCACTGGCGTCTGGAGCAGCTGTGGAGGCACAGGGGTCCTCCTGCCCCTGGGGGATGTGAACTGAGACCTTCACCTCTCCTGCCTCAGTCCAGCTGGGACCTGCATGAGCCAGAACTCAGGTAGGACCTGGAGACACCTGAGGAAAGCCGGCTGCAGGGTGGCCTGGGGGAAGGAAGGGACTGACCCTGGGAAGCAGGACTCCTGGGGAGTCCCGGACATCCCTGGCTTGTACAGCAAAGGAGAAGGGGCGACAGGGCTCCCTCCACCTAGGCTCCACCCTCCGGTGGACAGCGATTATGTGTCTATGTGGTGGTGGTGGTGGGGTGGGGGGGATGGAGACTGGACGAGGCCGGCCGACCTGCCCTTGCCCACCTCTGCGGTCCTCCG